TTCTCTGACACTCAGTGCTCAACGTGGTGGTGGGATTGCCAGCAGGCGGTCCTGCCACCATGATGTAACATGCGGCATAATCTCTTTACCAGCCCGGCGGCTATTGTGGGGGTCCCTGTCTCAGAACACGTGTCCTTCCCCCAGGGATGCATGGACTAGTGCTTCCATGATCGCTACGGTTTCTGCCTCTAGCGAGGAGAAGTTGCCTGTTACCCTCATGGATTTTGTGGCATCCCTTGCTGCAAAGCCAGTGCCTGCAATGTGGCATAAGGGATCGACTAATTCATCCGTGAAGTATGTTCTACCGCCCGGAGGAGTGATCTCCCAGTCATTGCTTTCGTGACAGACAGTCTTGTTTTGGTTCGGTCAACCAGGTACTGGACCTCCTTTTGAAAGGAGAGGGTCCAGTCAATCCTTACCCAAAGGTATTGAAAGTCCTAGACATAAGTCCATTCCCTAAGTACTCAGACTTGTGCCTTGGACATTGTGTCTCAGAGCCATGGCTTTTGATTTGGCTGCAGAGATCCTTAGTCCTGTCCTACAACACTCCTCAGATACAAGGTCCAGACAGCACTGGGCTCTACATCAGATCGTCAGCATAGGAAATGATCTTGCACCTCACTGGGAGGTGTATGTTGAGGATACGGGACATTAGGGCGTTGAATAAGACTGGACTGAGGACCTCACCCTGTGGCGTTCCATTTTCTAGTGGCATGTGCTGCGATAGGTGACCTTGGAATCGAACTGTGGCTGTTCTGTTCCTGAAATAGTCACCTATCCAAGCCAAGAGCTTTCCTTTGATTCCCTTCTGGATCAGGTTCTCCTGAATGCCAAGAGGATTTCCTAATTCAAAAGTCTTCTCCAGGTCTAGGTATACTACCACAGATGGGCCAGTGTTAATTGTGCTTAAGAGTGTCGTTATTCTGTGTACTGTGCTCATGCCCCTTGTGAACCCATGGAGGAGTTCATGTGGGTGTCCCATTTTCCACTGGAGTCGGTTTAGTACTATCCTCTCGGCCGTCTTGGCCGGACAGCTAAGAAGAGAGATGGGACGGTACTTCCCTGGCTCCTTTGGTTTTGGGATGAGAACTATGGTAGCCCTCTTCCAGCTCTGGGGTAGAATGAAAGTTTCCCAGAACTTGTTAATGAGTTGCAGGAGTGCAAGCTCACCTGCCAGTCCTAGATGAGAAATGATGGGTACGAGATCCCATCAGAACCCGGGGCTGAGTGAGAACTGTTTTTGTAGGTTTTTTTAGTTCCCTCAAAGGAGAGATAACATGGCTGCCCTTTCTCTAATATGAGCAATTCTGCCTGGTTGTAGGCATTCTAGGTTTGCCCTCAGTTCGGTTGGCAGACGGTTTCTGCTTGTTCTCGCAGAGAACTCATGCACCAGTCCGTTTGCCTCTGATTTGGGGTCGTGGTGCGTGCACCTTAGGGCTGAGCGGCTGGTAGCTCGACAGACCCGTTGCCACAGATCTATAAGGGTGGTTTGGTGGACTCGCACCATTCCAACCACTTTTTTTTGCCTGACTCTATTGGCAGGAAAAGTGTTTCCATGGCATCCCCAACAGCTTCCCTTAGGAGGGATAGGTTGTCACCCTGCGGTTGACCTCCTTAATCTTGTCATTAAAGTATCAGGCGTCTTTGTAACTCCTGGACCAAGGCCGAGTTTTAGATATGGTCTGTGGGGCTTCATTGCATACAAGACAGTGGGCCAAGGCCTTCTGAAATGCCTGCCATTTGGCCTTGTCTGTTTTCCATCCTGGATTTGGTTGTGCAGCAGTATCCATGAGAGTAGTAACAGTCTCATTGACACCATCTAATTCTCTCCACCAGAGCCGCAGTGGCCAAGATGAGGTCTAGGACCCCTCCTCTGACATGTGTTAGCTCTTGAGTATTGAGAAAAGTGATCTCAGGAAATGTTTCTAGCACACTGGTTATGTCATAGCCAACCGCATCCGGTGCCCTGCAGGGAGACAGGATGGGGTTGTGTGCTTAGAACTCTCCCCCTATGATTACTCGATCTTGTGCTGCAGTGGCACAGACTTGGCTGATGCCTAAGCTCCTACAGAATGGCCTGCTGTACATATTGTAGCTGTTGCTACTGCAGTGACTACAGCAGGAGAGTCATGTCTTCCTCATCAAAGGGGAGATTATTGTCTGTTGGGGAAGCTTTTGCAGTGGTCTTCAAACTTTATTCTTCTGGTTCTTTTTCTGCACTTTTGTAATGGCCAGAAACTCCTTTTTATTGGAGATATCCGGTGTTGGCTGGGGAGGAGCTTCCTTCCTCTTAGGAGATTGGGAAGCCTTTTTTCTTTTGTTCTGTCCCCAGATATAGGTGCCTGGGGGAGGAGGAGCAAAGTCTGGTCACTTTTTAGCAACCTCTTGTCGCCTGAGGGCCGCCTCTTTCCTGACAGAGTAAGCCAGGCTCCAGGTATGATGCCTCTTGGCACAGTTGGGACATCTGGCTTTTGTCCTTCCTTGTGAGCCTTAAGTCGCACTTCGGTTTTGTGTGCCCTGCTGTAGACACCACATTTGGGCTTGGCCTCTCAGCTAGCTTGGTGGTGGCAGTATTTTTGGCACTTGAAGCACCGAAGTGGTTCAGGCAGGCAAGGTGCCCGTTACCTAGATCAAGGGTAGTGATCAGGGTTCCTTTCAGGATGTTCCTTTTCGATATTCATGAAGCCTCCATGACCTGTGGGTGTGATGTGATCAGATCCACATCATCATATGAAACTAGAAATCCAAGTACCACCCTTTCGACTTGGATTTTGGGCTCTGGTGGTAGGAGCAGCAGCTGTTTCGGCTGGTTCAGCTTGTGCTCTTAGCTCGGTCATGGAGGACATCTGAGGGGAAGTCAGAAGTCTCCCTGATTTGGGTGCAGACCTGGAGAGGCCAGCACAAGAGACAATTTCATGAACATACATGTTTTTGGCTGATGAGTTCTCTGTCTTGTCCATTTTAGATTTTCTCTTACCACTAAGAGCCATGTCTCTGCTGGGGAGAGACCAGAGGGGATGCCATTCTACCTACAAGATAGGCATCATTGTTTAGAACCCTTTGTCCATCTCTCTCCAGTGAGACAGCCAACCAAACCGCCGAAGGTCCTGAGCAATCATGCAGTTGTGACAATCATCATCACAGTTATAGTTGTAGTTCTCATTGTTAGCATCATCATCCTTATTTCAATTGTAGTTGTGTTTTCATTGGAATCATCATCGTTACACAGACAAGCGCTACGATCTCTACGACAAGGAGGTCCTCGAACCCATCGCCATCTTGAGGTCCCTCGACGCGTCCTCCTCGGTTTTCTTGATTGAGTTCATCCCGTGGATTAGGAAACTGCTGCCGGAATTCATGAAGGAAAAGTTAATGACGGGCATGATGAGGAAGATCAAAGACAGCATAGTGACTTTATTGAAGGTAATATAGACTGATTAGATGGGCGGTATTATGTGGATACTTACCTTCATTTGTTTTTTGTTTCTTGTTTTTCTTTCATTCTCCTTCTCCTTTTCTTCGTTTGAAAACAGTGTGTGTGTGCTTGCATACTAATAAAAAGTGTTTATATCTATTTATATGAATATGTGTATGTGCTAATCTTATGTAAAACATGCGTTACTGGAAACGTGCCCGGCTTCCCTCAGGACACGATAGATTCTCACAGAGCCACGCTCGACCCGGCCAACCCTCGTGACGTCATCGATGAATATTTGATAGCCATAGACGAAAAGAGCGAAATTGCTGAGTACTTCAGTGGTGAGTTTTCGTTTTGTATTTCTGCTTATTTACTAGATAAATGTAATGCAGTTAACCCAATGATCCATTTTTATAGATATCACTACTATAATTCTTGTCGATTATCATTTTCTTCATTTGACACTTTCGATGACAAATAGGCCATGTATTAGCAATAAATATGATAACAGAAGGCCAAGTGTACTCCCGGCAGAGCTGGATCTGATGAGGATCATCTTCGACCTGTTCGCCGCGGGCTTCGACACGACGGCCAATACCCTGCGCTGGATCATCCTCTACATGGCCAGGTACCCTGAAGTACAGCGTCGCATCCAACAGCAGATCGACGAGGTTGTCCCGCGCGACACCTTACCCTCCTACCAGCACAAGAGTCGGTAAGTTCACCTATCTTGCCGGCGAACCATCTGCTGAGTATTAGAGCCTGATATTATGATTAGGACTTGACTGATGTTGCGGCATTGTCCCCAATCTAGGCTGCCGTTACTCGAAGCGACGGTCCAGGAGGTTCTTCGTGCGTCGTCCATGATTCACAACGGAGTCCAACGCGCAGCTCAGACCGATACTTACCTGGCAGGCTACTTCATTCCGAAGGCAAGTATCTGCCTCACCCTTTTTACCCACCGTTCTTCCTCAGATGCTTAATCTTGCAGTAGTTGTTGAAAGCATGAGCCAGCGTACCTGTACCTTCATTGTAGGTCTGGTTGTGCTGAGACTGAGACTGTTTAAAAAAAGATGCTACAGAATGCCATAGATAAATCCATTACCGAAATGCACTGTACCTCAGGGGTCGTGGGTGTTCGGGTGCTCGGGAATATGCCACATGGACTCACGCTACTGGGAAGAACCGCAGGAGTTCCGACCCGAGCGGTTCCTCGACGAAGAAGGGAAAGTCAAAACGCCCAAGGAGGGATTCATACCCTTTGGTTCAGGTAAGCCAAATCCTCCGGAGTCGTAATCTTAGTCAAGCTCATACCCTGTGGCGACTATAATCATGATACCCTTCAATGAAACACAAAAGGCGATAATCAGAAATTTTCAAACACAGGACGAAGGAGCTGTCTTGGAGAGGCTCTGTCAAGGATGGAACTGTACATCTTCACGGCAGCCCTTCTGCAGAACTTCACTTTCTCTCCTCCAGAGGGCGTCGAGGTCGACCTAGAAGCCAACTCCAAGCAACCCTCTGCACGTCTGTCTAAAGAACAAAATATTGTCATTAGCATCAGAGAGTGATAACTTACTGGATGTAAACTGTTCTACAACATTTCTATGTAACATAATCTAATGTTACTGGCATTATGAATTCTGGGTGCCTTTTAGTACTAGATTATCATATTTCTGAAAAGTATTCATGTTGACAAATGTAGAGAATGAATACCTTCACAATACAACTGGTCAACATCTCTTGCATTGTGAAAATATTCATTCTCATTCATAACTTTTTCTAATTTATTATATTAACACAATAAAAAAAAACATTCTGTAGTGCAGAATAGATTTAGGCATACTCTCTGTTTTGATATATATATAACAGAAATACTTTGCTTAGTACTGTTGTCATTACCTTTACTTGTGGTCAGTGAGGAACTGAGTATTATTTTCCTTTTAATTAACACACTCTAATATTACATAACAACATATATTATAAAGTTGATCTTCATTATCCTCTGCGAGGGTTGTACAGAGACAGACATGGAAAATTATATTAGAAGAAATGGTAAATACCAGACTTTGACATTTCCATTAGTAAAAACAACAAAATTTTGAGATAAACATTGTGAAAAATGTTTCGAAATGTTTCCCACAATTAAACAATGTGACTGAAAACTAAATTCGACTTGCTTCACCTTTCCCACGTGGGATAAGCAGGAAATCATAGAAAGTAGAGACTTTAATTGAGTTTACATTGTAGGCGACGGCAATTATTTTACGGGAACACATGTTAACATAATTCACCGTTACCATTAACATTAAAGGCTGGTTAAGTTGTGATGACTTTTGTGAACAGTTTGTTAGATGACTGAAAGAAGGGTGGTATTTCTTTGATCCTTTTTGTCCCATTTTTTTTACATCAAAATCGTGTATGCAGTTTTACTGGAAATAAGGCATTATATTGGCTAGTTGCACTACTGTAATTTCTGTATCTTTTATAAGGTCTGTAATAATACCATTTTCTGGTGCTTCCCCTCTCTTCATGCTTTGAGTGCTGTTTTTTTAATTCGGCTTTCGTTTTAGGTACATCCCTAATTGCCGAATTTACTTCTGTCTGCGACTGTTCATTGGAACTGTATTAAATCCCAGTTGATTTCATTGTTGTTATATGTCACTTCTCCGTCTTTCTCTATTTTGACTTCTCTCTATTCTAAGTCTCGTTTTAGCTGTTTATGCTGGGAAATCTCTCAAACACACTGGCACACTATGATAGTCTGCCACATCTGATCCCCTTCAGGAAGTCAGGGTGGGGTGGTGTCCTATGATCACTTAGTCTTGTGCTGCAGTAGCACAGACCTGGCTGATGTCTAAGCTCCCGCACCCTGGCCTGCTGTACACATTGTACAGCAGGCCAGGCCCCTCACCAGGTGGATCTCAACTGCAAGAGATCCAAGATCATCTGGTGCCAACTGTGCTTAGCAATATGCATCTGTTGAATTAAAGCCATAGGTGTTCCACTATAGTATGTTTAGATTATGTGTCATGATGTTACATGATGGCAATTACATCTGCTCAGAGTTGCTTGTCAGGCTAGCTATGGGTCTACTTGTTTCTTGGCTTTTCTCTTTTCAGGCTTGGCTTGTGTGTTCTTGGTCTCTGCTGGCTTTACCTGGGCAAGCTCAGCCTGTTCTGGTTTTGCACAGATTCAGCCTATTTTGGTTCTGCCTGTAAGGGCTTGGCCAGAGTTGGAGTTAGGATGAGAGTCTCGCCCTGAGGTGGAGCAGTTTCCTCCCTTTCATGGCTGCAATGGTCTGGGTCATTGCCGTCATAGGGACCCTGACTGCCTTCTCCGCCTTCCCACTCAACCTCCTCAAAGATGTTGCTACTGCAGTGACTACAGCAGTCAACAGGAGAGTCATATCTTCTTCATCAAAGAGGGGGTGGTCGGCTGTTGGGAAGGATCTTTATTCCTCTCGTTCATTTCCTGCACACTTGTAGTGGCCGGAAACTTTTTGTTAAGGTTCAAATGTCGGCTGGGGAGATGCTTCCTTCCTCTTAGGAGATTGGGGAGCTTTTTCCGTTTTGTTCTGCCCCAGACGTAGGAGCAGGAACAAAGTCTGGTCGTTTTTAACGACCTCTTGTAGCTTGAAGGCCGCCTTCTTCTTGTGTCTCTTTGGCCTTGCTACAGATACCACATTTGGGCATGGCCTTGCAGCTAGCCTGGTGGTGACCATATTCCTTGCACTTGAAGCACTGAAGTAGCTCAGGCACATAGGTTCTTAGGCAGTAAGAGCCCCTGTTACCCAATTCTGCACCTCCAGTGTTCTTACTAATCGGTAGGTATTGTTAATGCCGTCATGTTTAGATTTTGTTGCCATGCGATTTAGCAGTTATTTCGCCCTCTCACACACCCACCGAGCACAGAGTCCAACAAGGGGAAGCTGTATGTTAGAGCTTATGTCTAACACTTATAAGGGTGGCGAAAGGGTATACGCAGCCAGTGGTTCTCAAGCGACCTGTATGAGTGTCAACGGTTCCATGATTGCTTGACCCTAGGCTCCTAAAGGAGATTACCCGATTGATCTGACCGGGCCAAGATCAGGCCACCCGTTTTGCTGGTATAAGGGACCAAAGAGGCGTGTTACTAACCACAGGGTGTACTCATACAAGGCATCGCTCAACTTCCAGGACCCACGTGTTTGCCACGCACGGCAAACACGTGGGTAGGTGAAGCCCCTAGGAAAAGACCAGAGGGGATACCATCCCACCTACAAAATAGGCATCTTTGTTTGGTTCCATTTGGTCACCCCCCCCCCCCCAGTGAGCCAGCCACCCAAAGACTGGCTCACCTCAGAGAGGGAACTCAAGATCCACAACCTTTTCAGTTCGGTTCCAGGTGAAGGACTAGTAAGTGAGTGATGCCACTAGTATTGCCTCGGTTTAGCATGGACTTAGGCCACACGCGAGCCTGCTCACTACATCAGGGTATACTCCCGTGAGCATGGATTTGATCGCAGAAGCGAATATACGTGTGTCAGTTTATTATAGGTAGATTGCATTTATGTGTATGCATCAGCAGAGCAGACACAAATTCTCACCCGCAAATACTCTAATACGCCTTTGCTCATTTTGTGTACATGCACTTACATTTATCCAAGCACATACGCACATATGTGTTCATTCATCCACGTACCCAACCACCTTTACACATACACTACATATAAATATGCTTATACACATATACATTGCATACAACTACCCACACTACACACACATATGCACACAAACATATAGGCTTATATATATATATATATATATATATATATATATATATATATATATATATATATATATATATATATATCAAGGACAGATAGTTCAGAATTGAACAGCTGTGACTAATATAAATGCACATGTACACACAATTAAATATATATTTTTAAATATACACATATTACATACATTCATATACGCGTATACGCATACATAGTCGTATACCCATTAATATCCATATAATTTATACACCCTCGCACACGCTCATGAACACATTTAGATGCTTACATGCACGCATACACACACGTGAACTCGTATACACATATTCCCATGAATGTGCGCATACGCATGAGACACCTCAGTCTCAGACACCTCACAAACTGAGAAGGCTGAAGAAAATAAAGAATGATATTGGAATGAATAAATACGAGTTGTGGGATTTAGAGAGAGTTTGAAAGGCGATTTTGTATCTGGCACTTTCTCGGAAATGCGGCTCTTTCCATAGCGGTTACTACCTCCTGCCTACGGCCGCGGGATCAGCGTCACGTTGGTTTGAGATGCCATGTCTTGAATTTATGCCTCGTTAATATGTAGTTTATCTGGCGGATCGTCTGCCGTATGTTTAATTATAGCTGTCGCTTTATGGTGACAATATCCAAACCCACTTGATTCCGTAACTGTAGGATGAGACAAATTACCTGAAGGAAAAATGTAACACCTGTGCGATTTGGCACCGAATTTGTCCTGATTATTTTCTCCGTTGGTAGATAGCAATTCTTTCGTTCACAGATGATTGCTTCTGTTGTGGCACACTCGAGAAATAACGTACGTGACACAATATTGGAACCTTATAATTCCTAGCTGGCACTTACTGACATTGCTTGGAATTAGAGGATTCTAAAACGTTTGAATGTGTATAAGTCTGAATATGTATATATAAATATGCACTATACATATATACAAACACACACGCACACAAACATATATATATATATATATATATATATATATATATATATATATATATATATATATATATATTCATTTATATATACATATATATTATATATCTATATTCATTTATATATACATATATAATATGTATATATTCATTTCTATATTCATATATATAATATATGTATATATATGTTCATAAATATACATATATTATATATACATGTGTGTGTGTGTATGTGTGTGTGTGTGTGTGTGTGTGTGTGTGTGTGTGTGTGTGTGTGTGTGTGTGTGTGTGTGTGTGTGTGTGTGCGTGTGCACTTCATGTCAAATGTATGCAACCATAAAACAAATAAGTATGGTAAGTATAGCACATATCTACATGTATTTATGAATTTATGCTTACTCAACCTCCCCCCCCCCAAAAAAAAAAATAATAATGATAATACATATATATACATATATATCTATAATGGTTAATAATAAATAGATAAAATACTTACGAATATCACAGCAACTATAAACTATATGGTAACCATGACCCACAACGTTGTCGAGTCACTGTGACTTAATTGTATTTCCGTGATGCTGTGGGTATGATAATTAGGAATGCATTATTTTTGTTAATAATTTCATTTATAATTCACACACACACACACGCACACACACACACACACACACACACACACACACACACACACACACACACACACACACACACACACACACACACACACACACACACACACACACACGCATACATACACACGCAAATACGAACACACACACACACACATGCTTCCTAATTACATATAAATACATGTAATGCATATACAAATACCAAACATCACCAAGAAAAAAATGA